TCTGCTACCTTTTTCTACTTTCACCTCATCATCATTACTCCACTTCATCGCCTCAGGTAGTTATCCGCCCGCTATTCTCAGCACACTTTCTTCTCCCATCCTCCCATACCTGATTCTCTATTAAATTATTAACCCCTTGTTGTTGGGGCGGCGTTCACATATTCGCACGTAACACGCTGATTCGCGTCTCCAGAAATACGGTATTTGCGAGCTGCGAGCTGCTTTAAACAATCAAGCGAACAATGCGAAATAAACAATGAAATGCGCACCAACTGCCGATAAAATACGTAGACTGGTCCGCGCTCGACAGTTCCACTCGCGTTACACTGGAACTGTCGAGCGCGGACCAGTCTATAAAATACGCGGCTTCAGAAATCCGGTATTTAGCGTTCATACGAGGAAATGCGCGGTCCAAGAGATCCGGTATTTCTCAAGCACGGCAAATTATTCGGGGTCTGAGAAGCCGCGTATATACATCAAATACCGGAGCTGTCTAGATACCGTATTTCTTAGACCGCGTATTTTGCCTTGTGTGAACGCTAAATACCGGATTTCTTGCTACGTGTGAACGCGGCTTTTGATTCCTGATTTTAACAAAACTACAGTTACTATCCGGCTAATAGATTCTACATTCAAAACCTTTTTTTGCTAATTTTGGTCCGTATATAGCTACTCGCGGGTAGATATCATACCATAAAACACCCATGTTGTAGTTGTACCATATATGTTGTCACAGTCATATGGGTGTTGTAGAATATACGGTATCCGCTAGGCATTTCAACTTTAACCACTCACATTAACACATTTTCACATTAACGGCGGTAAAGAACGATCCCGGTGGAATGACACATTTCGTTGTGTTTGCTGACATCTAAATGCGACTTAATTGGCTTTTTGTTAGGGGGGAATCATATGTAAACTTTCGCGCAATTAATTATCTCAGAACTGTTTCATGGAGTGACTCTCTCGCGCAGGCGTTCTATAAATATAACTTACCTTTAAACTCGTGCGAGTCGTGCGGGCGACTTCAGCGACTTGCGACCAGACTGCGAGTGAGCAACAGGCCACGAGCTGACGGAGTTAGAAGCTACCATGTGTGTTATTACCTCCGCTCAACGTAGTCACGTGAGACGGGTATAAATACTCGCACGTAAAAAGCTTTTCCGTTAACCACAACATTATAAATTAGAAGCTCGGGAAAAGACGTAGCATGATCTTACGCAGAAAAAAATATTAAGAGCAGCTGAGACTCGTTAGTCTGGACCTCACATCCTATATTAAATCTACGTACCGAGAGTAGTTTTTTTTATTTAAGACAGGATGGCCTGCATTTTTCGTTAAGACTTTGACAGAAACCATAAACATTAGCTGCAGATGAAGCTGGGCTCATTGGACTTAAATTAATTAAACTTAATTACCCTTAGACCAATGAACTAATACGTGTAAGAATGGATAGGCATTAAAACATTATTAGCAGTTCGCATATATTGTCTTGCAAGAAATCAAAATTTAAACAACCAAGCCTATCTATACCGATGATACGCATGGAATATAACAGTATGATACACATGCTTATGCCTAGAAATAAACCAGTCCAAGGCTTCTGTCAGACGTATAACGTTGAAAACAGAAATGCACGTTACCTTGATTTAAACTTTTTCACGCAGAATTTTGCCGACATTCAAGGTTTTTGCCGAGTTATTTTCGAGTCCCAAATCGTGTCTAGCAAATGCATACTGTGTCTATTATATGTGTACATGTCACGATATGTACTATGGGATCGTGTCTAGTCATGCTCACTGGTTTTTGCAGTTACCTTTACGTCACCTGGTGGTAACGGTATTTTTTGTGTCTTTACCTACCAAAATCGGGTTAGTTTTCAATGGCGGGTGACCGTGTGTCGTATGAAAGGTTTTGGATAGAGTTCATTCATCGTGTTTTAATATTACAAAATCGTGGTCACTTCAGCTAGCAGTGTGTATAATTCGGTGCGGTTTATTATAATACGCTACTGCCTTTTGGTTATCACGCCGTATAATAATAATAAAAACTACTGTAACTACATTTTCTTGTTCTAGTGGTTTAAGCACCCTATAAATACTGTACGCGGTGACAAGTCCTTGAAGGAGCAGAGTAATTAATGTAGGACAGCTGGATAGAAAAAAAAGCACATGCTCTGATTTTTTACGCATTTCTATTTCACGAAAGGTATTAACAAGCAGGCAAATGAGTACACTTTAGTTATGGGGCTGATCAATAGGTGACAGGCAAATGTTTCTCAACCGTGGTCCATATAGGGACCCCTTGGAGGAATGACATCTTCCAGGGAGGGAAGCACGTGCGGGTTGCAAGTGTGTCTGCTTCGTATCACATCCCTCCGATGTGTTTCAACTACGAGTCACATGTCGTGCAGTAGATGTAGAAAAAAAGTTGTGAATAGCAAGATGATTCCACGGGTTGCATCACGCTCAACGCATGCATCGCACTATTATCTCTTGTACGGTATTACAGTAAAGTAAATTCACGTGTACTACGTACGTGTACGTGTACACGTGTACTACGTCTCTGCCGCGTCGATCAATTGTTACCTCCGCCAGGGGCTTGGCGGAGGTTATGTTTTCACCGGCGTGTGTTTGAGTGTTGGTTTGTGGGTTTGTGGGTTTGTGTACGCTCGCTGATTGGCTGATTGGCCCGCCACCGCCGTTGCCGCCGCGCCGGAACCGCCTGTATCATATATGTTAAGCCTAACTTAAAAAGTTATGGACGGATTGTCATAAAATTTTCAGGACACGTCAGAAATGGGCTAACTCAGAATTGATGAGATTTTGGTGGTGATCCGGATCCAATTAATTAATTAATTAATTAATTAATTAATAAAATTTCCAGGATAGTTCAGAAATGGGGTAACTTAGAATTGATTACATTTTGGTGGTGATCCGCATCCAATTAATTAATTAACTAATTAATTAATTAATAAAATTTCCGGGATAGGTCAGAAATGGGGTAACTTAGAATTGATTACATTTTGG